GTGCTCTATGGAGCAATGGCATCACTATCAAGCAGACCTGTGCTGTCATTCTGCCTCTGACACCTACCAGCTGGGTGACTCAGGGCTAGTTTTTAACCTTTCTAATTTCCAAGTTCCTAAAATGGTAAATGAAGATAATACCTCCTTCATAGATTTATTGAAGGGAATAATGTGACAATCCGTGTAAACTGCTTAACATATTGCTTGGCACATTGTAAGCGTTCAACAAATTAGTGATGTTATTATTACTAATGTTATATCTACTAGCAAATTCAATGCGAATAGCTCTCTTGGGGAGCAGGACATGGAGCGTTAGCTCAAATTTTATGCTTAGAAGTTAGGATTAAATGTTGTAGTTGATGGAACAGGTCTAGTTCACTGGGCTGCAGAGATTTCCAGACACAAAACACATGTAACAGATAGCAGTCTTTGTGCACAAACCCAAGATATATTTCATACTAAAGCTGCATCAAGGCCTCTCCTGATGCAAGAATTTCAACTTCAGACACCACTGGGCTTCCCTTCCCCCATAGGGTTCGACTGGTTACCAAAAATCTAAGGAATGTGTCAGGCCCTTAATCCCGAGCAATGCCATTGTTTCCTTGGACTCTTCTGCTCTCCAGGACTACAAGAGAGGGTCTTCAAAGGCCACTCAAGACACTGCTCACAGTGGACTCAAGGATATTGTATTGGTCAGGCTATGCTGTGGTAGCAACAAACCTCAGAAAGTCTATCACTTTTACTTGCTCATGCTACATGTTCAGTTCAGGTCAGCTCGGGAGGGGTGCTCTGCTCTGCATCTGAGCACTCTGGGACCCAGGATAATGAAGTGTTTCCAGGCACCATGACAGAGGGAAAGAGAAAAGCATCATGAGTCCCTCATTGACTCGTAAGGCTTCTACCAAAAAGTGATGTGCCACTTCCTTTCATGTTTAACATTGGCCAAAGCAAGTCATGAGACACACCCAAATCCCAAAGGATGGCAAAATAAAATCCCACCACGTAACCAGGAAGAGACCCAGATATATTTGGTAAATAGCACTGATGTCTCCCACGGATGCCAGTCACAGTCCGCTGCCCACAAACTTGCCCACAGTTACATTTTAATCTGTTCTTTAGTCTGGAAAGTGTAGTGTGCAGCCTCCACTGACTTCCCACAGCTAGCCCCAAAGTGGGGCATTGCTTGCTGATGGGGGCTTTGCTCCACGATGTGCAGAGAGCATCCCACACCACCACCCTGAGGAATCTCAACCTGATTAGGATGGTCTACTTCTGCTTCTTTCCATTCAAACTTTGTTTGCCCCACCAAAGTCTTGGCAAAGATAGCTCCTAGATGTCTGCAACTTCTGCTTTCAGCCCATCACAATTTTAAAAAAGCTTGTTGTTAACTGTCATCCACTATTTCCACCGCACCCAATTCCCTAGGCAAAGAGATCTGAAATGACAACTAAAACAAGTTCCATCAGACAGTAGAGGGGATTAATGCATTCAACAGTGAGCAAAAAAATACAAAATTATATTATTGTATGAGAAGCTTGAAAAAATGACAAATCTTGAGCAAAAGCCAGTGAGGAAACCATACTTCTTAGTGAACTAAGTTTTGGAAATAGTGGAGATGATCTGGCCAAATCAAGAGGCAGAACGTAGAAAGGGCCTCTGAGACAAAGGCCAAGAGGAAGAGGTGAGCGCTTGAGCAGTGATGGCCCTGGAGCCTGGGGGTGGGTGGAGGTGGCAGGAGGGAGCCGAGGGCACAGACTGTTCATGAGTCAGATATGAGGTTTTTAGTGAATGCAAGAGCAAAGCATGATTTCCAAGTTTAAGTCTTGTTTCTTGGGTGATTGATAGCATCATAAACTCAAATATTTAACCCTGAAAGAGAAGGAGTTTCTGTTTTTCTTTAATTGAGGGATGGGATCCAGGTTGGTTATGTTCAGTTTGAAGCATCTGTGGAATAACCAAAAAAAAGACATGTAGCAAGTATTAAGATATATAAGGGTGGGTCTCAGGAATGATATTTGGATTAGAAATAAAGACTTGGTATATAGGTGGTTGGTGAAACCATAGATGAGATGAGATCTCCCAGGACAGCGAGAAGGTAAGGAAGGGCTCACAGCTCAAGTTGCCTTTCCTTGGAAAGAAAAATATCATTTGCCAAGGTGACCACTGAATTTAAGCATTAAACCATCTTCTCTCTGCCAAATGAGTGTTTATTCCTATTCTGCTTGATAATTGATCTCTGGTTTCTTCACACGTGCTGACAAAATAATCAAAAAACCTCCTGAAATGTATATGGTACAATAACTGAAATAAATGATGCCACTGCATAATCTGTCAGCTAAATAATAATTACTACTGCAAGAATATCATAGCTTATTGAGTATTAACTCTGTGCTAAGCTTAGTTTAAGTTCTTTACATACAGTTGACTTAAATTTTCAGGAATACCTCATTCCAGTATGTAGCGTTATCTTCATTGTTTTGTGGAGGGAAATAGGCTAAAACAGTTTGAGTGAAGGGAGAGGGTGGATGTAAGATTTAAGCCCCATTTTTTTTTAACTCCTATAACGTCTCATATACTGTTATCCATTAGACAAAAGTGTTGATTTATTAATAATTTAGAATGTTAAACTTTCATCAAATAGTGGTTGTGTTTAGTTATTCAGAGGTGAATTACAACTGAAGTCATAACTCTCAATTTTCTCCTTCCATCTTGCTGTCAAAAGATCAGTGGGTAAAGAAAATACTTTAATCACTCACATGAAGCGCATTTTTACCCTGTCTTACTAGAGCTAAGTAATACTCAGATCCTCACGTTTCCGTTGTCAGTACATACTGGATGTTTGAGAGAGTACACCAAGCATCAGTCCCTCACTGAAAATAGCCATGCGGGATGTTTATGAGAGTTTAAAAATGCTTTATCACACCTGTCACCTGGCAGCGTGCATGAGCCTGTTATGATGGAGATGAGCAAACAATCAGTAAAAAATACCTAATGTGATTTCTATACACAAGTAGCCTCAAATGGAAAAGTAGAAACTAGTAAATAATGTTTGTTGAGAAGATATAGTAGCAATAAACAGCCGGTAAGTGAATGGTTAGTAAGAATTTAGCTCACTTTATGTATGCTTTCCATATTAAAGTAAGAGTAATTAAAGGAGAATTGCTAGTTTTTGACACTGACAGCATTTTTTCTTTTTAAGATAAGAGAACAGTTCCTTTACTTACATTCTACTTGACTCCACAGGCCCATTGTGTTGTCTGCTGTAATCTTGCTGAATTATGTGAGGAACAACTTTGCTAAAAGACTACTAGAAATATAAGATTGGTATATTGCACTATATCTTCTCCCATACCAGAATGAATTAAGGTTTCAACATAGATGAAACAGCAAGCACACCACAGCCAATGGTTAACTAGGTAATCTAGTTAACTGGAGAACTGGTCTTGGTTTATTTAGTCCTGACCTAAATCTCTTACTGATAGTTCCAATAGATTATTTCAATTGGACCTGTTTTCTTGACCTAAAGATTTAAGTGACAGCAAATAGCACTCTGATCTTTGGCCCATCTAAAAAGCTCCAACCAGCCAGGCTAAACTTCATCATTGTTTATTTCCACGCAGTACAGATAGAAACTAAACCCCCCACCTCCAATTTTACTGCCCTTTGGTATTACATAATTATTTTTATTAATCATAAAGCTGTTAAATCCTACCATTTTTGCTGGGATTTTAGAAGTTGAATACCTAACATTTATCATTATCACATGCAACCTTAAGTGGCTTAAATGGGCATTTGAGGAAGTGTCACCTCATCTGTGTGTGGCAACGCTGAGGAATTGCTTCGGAACAGATGTTAACGTTTAACACATTTACTTCTTAGATGTTCATTTGAAAAGAAATCTCTTAGGCTGTAAATTATCAGACTGACAGAGAGGGAAGATATTTATATTGTTCTTATCAATTAAACATCTTTGATTTTAGAGTCAAAGCCTTTAGTGAAGTCTTTCAGAACAGTTAAACACTGTTCATGTCTCCTGACTTACTCTCATTAAGCATTTAAACACTCCACAGGGAGAAATTGTGTTCCCAACATCAGTGATTCACAGTTCCCGATGTTAACGCTCATACTCTTTAAAAAGATCCGTCACAGTAAATATCTGCTCTAAAAGGAAGGGTGGGCTGGGATTACCCAAGTTCTATGTTGAATAAGGCGCTGGCTCTTCCTCTTCAGCAGGCATCAGGTTCAGCTGGCAGTGGGTATGTGAAAACAGACGACTGGCTCCCACCTCCAGAGTTTCTAAATCGGTAGGTCTTTGGTGGGGTCCAATAATTTGTATTTATAACAGGTTCTCAGGAGATGTTAATACTGAAATGGCTGGTCTGGGAGGCAAACTTTAGGAACCACTGGCATTGAGTGTAAGTTTACCCATTTGTCTTCCTGGGTTAAAAATTTTCAGCAATTGGAAAAGTTATGGGAATCCTGCAGACTATCTGGTCCTGTTTCTTAGAGAGTTACAACAAAGGATCTAAGAAGCCCTAAAGTTAAAAATATTTTTTTTTTAATTTTGACTTCGTATTTCTCCAACTCATTTGGTTCAAAACCTTTATTATCATGGGTAATTTACATCTACTTGGATATTCCCTAAAATAGAGTTAAGACATTAATTTCTTAGGACTTGATTGTGAAAACCTCATAGCATGCTGCCTTAAGGAACTGCATTGTTCATACCATTCTCTCCTCCTTTCGTTTGCTAGCAAGATGCATTTAAAGTTTAAGGGAGCGCTAATCCTCCTCATAGAGAAAGTAGAACATGAACTTATCCTTCTAATAGACTAGTAGTTAGAGATGAGTGTGAAGGCAAGCAGGCAGTGTCAAAGGAGAAAATTAGGTTCAGAGAACACAAGACATGAAGAAAAACGTTTGGGTGAAGTATGGCGGTATACAGGATAGATGGATGGACAAAATCTCAGACCAAATCAGCCTCCTGCGTCAGCACTTACCAAAGACCACTCTAGTACCTTCAGGAAGCTTCAATGATTGTTCACAGCTTGTTATAATTTCCGGCTCTGGCCAACTCTATCTCAGTTTACCCCCTGGTTCAAGTTTTCCTGAAGGAGAAAGTCACTGTTTTCATTCTAGGTATATATTTATAAAGGATCTTTTCAGAGACGTTGTAAGAGAGATATAATCAAGTTGGTTGAAAGAAAACAAAAAGCTTTTGTCAGTTTTCTGATTGAAAGGTGTATATGTATTGAGGGTTTGAGGAAGTATGAACAGGTGAGGTGAAGTCACACTTAACCTAATCCATGTTATTTTCATTAAAGATAATCACAATACAATCAATTAAAAGAATCAGTGCTATAGTCTACCCCCACCACTTTAATTTTATAGTATTTATCCACTAATGTCTCAATGTATGGGACTATGACCCCTTAAGAAAAGGATGCCAAACTTTTGACTTTACTTCCAGCACAGAAAAAGAGGGCAAATGACATCAAAGTTGCTCCATGAGAATATAACTATTCTTTGGGAGGATGACATAGAACAGACATACCCATCATATGATGGATTATTTTATCTCAGATATTATGGTTGGTCAGAATTTTTCCTGGTCACCTGCCCTTTGTCCACTGCTCTACTTTTTCCATCTTCAGATCCAAATAAGATCAATAACTTCTAACGAATGGGAATGTTGCCTGGCAGCCTAAAAGAGGTTGGTAACTGTATTGTATTAGTTTCCTATTTCTGCATAACAAATTATCACACATATAGCAGCTTAAAAGAACATGTACTTACTATTTCACATTTCTGTGGCTCGGGAACCTGGGCACAGCTTACCTGGGTCCTCTGTTCAGGATCTCATGAAGCTGAAATCTACTTGTTAGATTGCATTCTCATTCAGAGGATCAGCGAGGGAAAGATCGTCTTCCAAGATCCCTCTGGTTGGAAGGAGAGAGAGTCCTTCTCATTGGGGACGGCTAGGTTAGTCTTTTAAGGGTTTTCAACTAATTAAGTCAGGCCCAACCAAAATGACCTCCTTTTTGATTAGTTCAAAATCAACTGACTCGGAACCTACACTGCATCTGCAAAATTCTTTCACCTCTGCTATGTTCTATTGGCTAGAAGTTTGTCCCAGCCACACTTGAAAGGAGATGAGTATAGGGGTGGAGGACATCAGAGATAGAGATCATAGATTCCATCTTAGTATTTGCCTCTCACAGTAAGTTTAGGTCACGTTATTTTAATGACAGAGAAAAAGCACTTTAAATCAGCGGTTAACTGAAGGTGGAAACTTTGGAGTGGGCCTAGTGCATCGGTTTTTAAATGCTCCCAGGTGATTCTTTTTTCACTTAGGTGGACACAACTGCTTTTAATCCTCATGAAACAGAAGGAAAGAACTAAAGAGCTTTCCAACAGCACATCTGTTTGTAATCTCATTGGAAGACCCTGAAATAAATGAGTAAGATCGTCTAATTGAACACCTGCAGGAAAAGGGGCTGTTGTAACTTGGGAATCATTTTTACTCACATTTTGGTGAGGTCTGGCATATCTAGGTTTTAATTTTTTAGTTAGATAAAATGTTTAACTTAAAAAATGTGGTTTGCTTGCTTGCTTCCTTCCTGGAAAATGCAGCCGGGGGTGAGAGCAATTTAGTGCTGCACTGGTGGGAAGGGTTGTTACCCTGAGCAGAGGAAGAGGGTGTCTGAACAGGGGGTGATGGTGGTGGCCAGGCATGGAGTGTGAGAGTCTGAGAAAGGTGAGGAGGGGATCTGCACTGGGATTGTGTCAGAATGGATTTGTTACATACGTAAGAACTGAACCTGTTTACCCTGGTGTATATATTGATGAGGGAGATTTCTAACTGTCAGAAAATCGAGGTATAAATATAGAAAGAAATCTACAATAAACCCTGTGATGACGTTGGATTGGAAGTGGATTATGAATGTGAAATCATATTTGCACACGTGTGTGTGTGTGTTTGTGTGTGTGTATCCAGTCTGTCCACTGAAAGAGCTGGAAGAGCCAGGGACCAGTGACATACCAATAGCAATGAGCTCATTTGATGCATAGGTCTTGGCTTCTAAATACCACTGTCATTGAGAGGAACCATAGCTTCTTGAAGAAGTGGCTGATTCCAGGAATGGGGAAGTGAATGTATAATATGGGCCTGGAACATCTTATGAAGAAAGTCCTCAAAGAATGCTGGGAAATGACAAGAACACAGAACTGAGCTTGAAGAGGGATATTAGGGATGTTGAAATTAGGGATGATTTAAGCGTCAAAATAAATATATAAATTATACAGATAAATGACTAAGTAAATGGAGAGAAGACAAATCTTTTGTTTTGGTAGAAAGCCAGGTAATCTATGTAGAAGGAATTAAAAACTCACCATTTGGTAAATATCATCATAATTGATACAAGCAAGAATCATCTATGTTGCCAAAAATACTGGGAGAAATTTTTATAAGAACCAGGATATTTACATAATCTCAAACTATCTCCCTGTGGACAACAATAAAATGACAATGACAAACAATTAATTGCAAGAGGAAAAACGACGACCTTTTAAGTGGAAAATCATGGCCTACATGACCCTAATCAAGCAGTCAAATAACCATCACTAACATTGGGACAAAGTCCAAGGTAGAATTCAATGAAACAAACCACAGCATTCATTGTCTGAATCTAATTTTGAGGAAATATAAGACAAGTTGAGTGCATTTGTATAAAGGACCTCTGCAGAATTGTGTGTTCAACCATCATGATTGTGAAACTCAATGGAAGAATGAGGAATTAGTCCAGATTAAAGAGAATAAAGAGAAAATGACAACTAAATGCAACTGACAATCCTCGTTTAGATATTTCACTATACATTTTATTATTAGACAATTGTAAAACTTGAATGGGTTTGTGCATTAGATAGTGTATTAGTTTGCTAATGCTCCCATAACAAAATACCCCAGAATGGGTGGCTTAAATAACAGAGATTTATGTTCTCACAGTTCTGGAGCCTGGAAGCCCTAGATCAAGGTGTTGTCAGGTTAGGTTTCCTCTGAGGCCTCTCTCCTCAGCTTGCAGATGGTTGATCTCTTGCTGCCTCTTCACATGGCTGTCCCTCGGTGTACACAGGCTCCAGGTGTTTCTGTGTGTCCAAATTGTCTCTTCTTATAAGGATGCCAGTCAGATTGGTTTGGGCCACACCCTAATGGCCTCATTTAACTTCATCACCTGTTTAAAGATCTTGTCTCCAAATACAGTCAAAATCTAAGGTACTAGGGGTTACAAATTCTGAGGGGACACAATTCAGCACATAACAGATGATATTAACAAATCAGTGTTAATTTCCTGATTTTGATGGTGAAATTGTGGTTATGTTAGAGAATGTCCTTGTTTCTAGGAATTGCACACCAAGGCATTTGGAAGTGACAGTATAATAAGTGTTTAACTTACAACTAGTTTACGAAAAAACAAGTTATTTGTGCTCTTCTTTCAAAAAAAAAAAGTAGGACTAATAAGAAATTAGCTTCTGAGTGGCTATAGAAGAGGCATGATTGTCCCTGTGAGGAAAAGGAGTAAGACAGTGGCAATATTTACAAAGTGATGACTATGTGCTTTTCAAGGTTTAGTTCATGTTGCATACTGTAGGAAAAGTGAATACAGATGGAAAGACTTTCTTGCTCTATGAAAGTTATACAGATAAACAAAATAGAACTCTAAGGAAAAAAGGGGAGACAGAGCTCTAGCTTAGTATAGTCAAGAAAGATGAAAGATTTTTGATGCCTTAGGCACAAAACTTTACATCCACTTCTGACATCTTAAGTGGAGAGCTCGGATAGATAGAGGGAAATGCAATTTGTGGTTAGCTGGGAGTAAACTGGAAACATCAGAGTGGAGAATAAGTTAAAATAATTTCTGGAGAAGACAGACAGTTCAATACTAATCAATAATTAATAGCAGTTGACAGTATATAAAAAGAAGATACCTTATTTTCCTTCACATTGATCCTTTCTCTTTTGAATATTACCAGCATATTTAATTGCATTCAACATGATTAATTGATCAGTGTCCTAGACTGTGTGTGACATTCTTGAGAACATAAGACAAGCTCTCTCAAATAAAGGGCTTACCATCTGGTGGTGAAGATTAAAAAATAAAAAAGATGCTCTAGTATTTCTACACAAAGGCAAACAAGGCCCATTTTTGCAGCTCTTTATTGAAGAACAAGGTGGGGGTCAGGAGGTGAGAAGTTGTAGCAGTCACCCAGTGAGCCATGATTTCTGTCCTTCATGCATTTTCATATCTGCAAATATTCTGCCTCCCCTCTTTGGGCCTCCATTCGTCTGACTAACTGCTGCACAGCTGTAAGTACCTAGCAGCATGAGCTCCATTCTGTAGACAATAAGGAGACCTCACAAGTTTTTAAGGAAGGAATTTGCACAATCAGACTTTAATTTGGGGCTCATTCATTATTTCAAACAACGATTTACTGAGTCCCAAGCACAACGGACTTCGCTTCTTTCAGATGGTCTTTCCTGACATCCCAAGAACCTGGGTCCAATGCCTCCTAATAGGTAGTCTAGACCCCTGTGCTTAAAACCACTACAACATCCCTATCATTGCGATCTGCTTGTGTATTTGGATTTGCTACTAGCCGAGGTGTCTCACAGGCAGGCACCACGCTTCACTCACTGTTAGATCCTCATCGCTTAACTCAATGCCTTGTACATAGAAGTTTGCAATAACTATTCTATGAATCAAAAAATAAATACTGCTGAAAATAGTTATAACCAAAGAGTTTGTATACTCAGAGACATTTCTTCCACTTGGAAGATCACTCATGGATTAGGTGAGATTTGAACTGGTGTTTGAAGTATGGATCTGAGTTGAAAGGACAGAGGAGGAAGAAAAGGGACTCTAGGTTGAGGCAATGGCATTGTGCAAAGACTTCCCAGGGCAAGCTGTGCTGTGAGGATGAGGTACGTTAACTGGATTGAGAGTCTACTCTACCTGGAATATATACTTTTTCAGGTATTGTGGTAGATATTTTTGGAATGAAAATTAGGATCTAGGTTGTAGAAGATATAATTATTATGCTTAGAAGTGTAAACCCTATGTTCATCATGAGTGCACTAAAATTTTTAAGCAGGGAACTGGTATTTTCAGAGCTCTGATTAGGGTTCGTTCATTACTTCAATGCCTGTCTTCTGACTATTTCTTCTGTTCCAGTCACTGTGTCAGATTCTAGAGATAACACAGAAGAAAAGTTTTCATGGAAGTGACTCTGATAACAAATGTAAAGATGAGAGAGAGCAAAGGAAATGAGCCAATTGCAATGGTATTGAAATCATCTAATGAGAAGTAATGAGTCCTTTTCTAAGACACTGGCAGTGGAAACCCTGAAGTAATTTTGAGAAGTATAATATAATTTACAGAAAAAATAGTTATATTTTTGTCTATATGACATCAATTGTCCATATCTGGAGAAGGTCTGTGTACTGGGACCAAGTAAAACTTTTTTGGAATGACTTTTGGGCTATCTCAGTTTATAATATTGAATTTCAAATCATCCTGACCTATTCATGTTCAACTAAATGAAGCACATTTTAACAGCATGTACTTGAAGGGTAGAAGCCATTTATTCCATGTTTATATGACACCCTATCTATGCAGGTCCTCATCTCTGTAAAGCCAGGGAGAGCTGGGGACCTAAGTCTGAGTCTTAGTTCAGCCGATTACACGGATGGTCTAACTCCAGGAATTGTGGTTTGTGACTAGGACTCAGACATTTAAAAATAGTTCCCCAGTCACTTGCAATCGGAATAGGATCAACTTTCACTGTTTCTTCCTCCCAAAGACAGTGATATTGAAGTAGAACCTTATCCTCATTGGCCTCTTTCCTCTGAATCTTCTGCCAAAGAAATGCATGTGAGATGGGGCAGGGCTGATTAATATTGATCCACTGCCTTCACTGTAGCTCCTTTAACTTACTCAGAGGACCATACCTAATATGTTAGATCATAACATTTCTCTGGCTTCCTGGGTTTGCTGGC